TTTTAACATTGTCCATGGGGTTTTCTTGGCAAGGATACTGGAGTGGGTTGCCATTTCCTTCTCCAGTTAAAATGTTTAAAATGTGTGTTTATCTCTTTATATCTCTTTATGTCTATACTTTTTAATATTCTGTTTATTCATGTAGATAGATGGTCAATGCTGTCTCTTTTTCCTTGCATGACTTTATTGCTTTTCAAAGCATGTTGATTCTGTCTTGTTTCTGCCTCAGCTGGCAACTAGCTTTCCTTAAAAATCCAAACAAACAATCATATACACGCGCATGCACATTTTCAGGTGCAAAATACATCTCTCTGCATTTTCCCCTAACATTTTGTATGCCATTTCTTTAGTCCACCCATTTTATACACAATTTTCTCTCAGATAGGCATTTTACATATGTTTTTTCAGTTGAAGACCTATACTGCAGCAATTGGAGATGTTCAGAAATTCAAGACTAGTTTCATTTCCACTCCTACCTGAATACAAGAATGGCAGATTCAGCCAGGTCATACTCAGATTGGTATATTTTCTCCCCTACCCTATTTATTACATTTATTAGATATAATATAGTATTGTGCTATATCCAGTTTATATGAACAAACATCTTCCTAAAACGAAGTATATCAAAATATGTTGTTTTAGTTGTCATTAATTAATTAATTAATTAATTACAGGTTTTATAGCCTTTCCCAGTCAAAAGACTCAGGGTAGGTTACAACAAAGTAAAAAATAAAAATAACAATAACAATCATCCTCACCCCGCACATGGACACCACTAACGATCAATTAGGGTTAAAGGCTCAGTGGAGCACAGTGATTTTTTGGGTGATCTTTGAAATACCATGAAGATGCTTTATTGCTGATAACAATAAATTAGAAGCAGACAGAGGGGAATCACCATTTCTCCACACAACTGCTTTGTCCAGCTGGGTTGGAGGCTTTGCTTTTTTTTCTTCCTCGTGGAGTCTAACAGTCCTGTATGGCAGGGAAGGGAAGCACCATCACAGCTTGGTAATCTGATGACTGGCTGGGACAACCTTCATCCTTCTTCAAGCCCAACTGCCCTGGGAGGAGAAAAAACAGGTGCAAGTGCTCTAGAGTAATGGTCTACTCTGGACCTCTGGAGCCCATTTCTGTCATAGCTGGCCATTATAGGACTAATGGCATAGGAAAACTAGGCCTGGCTTTGTGCATCTGATGAAGTGAGATGCAACTCACAAAAGCTTATGCCTGTGAATAACATGTGTTAGTCAGAAAAAGTATACCCAGACTCCTCTTGATTTTTGCTATCATGGATTAGCACAGTTTTCATCCAGCAGTGTTTGTGCTCCATCCTGGCCATGAAGTATCTTTCCATGGAAGATTGGCGGCCACTCCTGCAAGTGATTTCAGAAGAAAGGGGAACTGGGGTGCTGATGGCAGTAGGGCAGTTTTCATCAAAGCTGTACAATCATATAGTTGCTGACTGGATAGACATCCCAACATGAACATGGACTGCTGAAATCAGCCAGAAGAGCTAGCTAGTCCATAACACAGACTTCTGTACTTGCATGGCCCTGATGGAGGTACCACTTGCCTCCAATATTGCCTTGGACTGGCTCGGGAAAAAAAAAATCAGATAATAGGTTAATTCAAATTAAACCTGAAACTTTGCTCTTTATGTAAAATAAATATTCAGACCATTATTCTCAGCAGGCAAGAGCACAGTCTCGTCTTCTATGACATACCCCTTTGCTTAGAGAAATTCCTTATTTTCCATCTGTTTCAGATACCAGTCCTAACTATGGAAGTGGATACTCGGGGGAAACTGAGACCCTCACAACTTTCAGCTGGGATGACCAGAATGTACGCAGGGTGTTCATCAGGAAGGTAAGGTCAAAGCAATTAAAACCAAACCACACTCAACCCTCAATCAGTAGTGAGGAAGATCAGCAGGTTGCAAGGGCTTAGTTCATTTTATGCAAGTCAGAAAGAAGGCCAAGATCAAGAACAGGTTTCAGAACAAAGACAAAGCATCAGATAGAATCAGAATCTAAAGCAAATTCCAGAAAAGAGTCCAGTCATGAAGAGGAGCTTCAGAAATCGTAATAAACTCCAAGGCCCATTGGCTGCTAAATGAAATCAGAGCTCTTAAAATTACACTCAATCCTCAGCCTTCAGGCCATCTAGAATTCTTCCTAAGCATAAAACTCTACTCCAGTGTGTACTTTTACGCATGCCTATTTCTTAGTTTTAGATCTGGATCTTCAGCTTCCTCCAGTTTCTGGGGCTTGGTAGTATTCCAGCTAATTCTGGTGAGATGTTCCTAGCCACAGGAAGTTTGAGCCTGGAATTGTGTCTTCAGTTAGATTCAGGACTGTTAGGCCTAGGTTCAGGACTTTGTAGGCTGAGTGGCTTTCTGGGAGATTCATAGCATATTCCCTACTGAGGACTCCTTCACAGAAGGTGGCACTATCACCCATGGATTTCATCATCCCAAGATTCTCCATCACATAAGCAGCCCCTTTATGTGGACATCTGTACACCTGAACAGCCCCTTTATACCAATATTGACTACATGGCCCTTATGGGGATCGCAGAAAATGACCATGTAAAGAAATTATAATGTGTGAACTCCCCTGAGAAAAAAAAATGGGTGGCAGAACTAGGTAAATACGGTCTGGCTTGCTTCTTAATTACCCAGACCTCACAAAGAGAATAATTGCTGAGCATTAACCAGGCTGATATTTATCCTGTTTCTTTGATATTAGGTTTACAGCATCCTTTTGCTTCAGCTCCTTGTTACAGTCAGCATTGTGGCTATCTTCACTTTCTGGTAAGTCTCTGTCCTAGCAACCCTGCCTAGCAACAAACCCTTTGCCCCGAGTTCCTTTTCTGGTTTGCTTTTTTATTTTTTCTAGTGATGTTACTGCTCCCATATTCTCATACTCTGCATGTGTAAAATGAGGAACTAACCATGTAGAATTTTCTCCTAAATGTCTTCTGCACTGCATGACTCGACTATGTTTTATTTTAGTGCATGTCTGAAGCATTAAAGAATGCCACTTAGAAATATTCACATCATAGCATCCCTTAAGGGAGGTATTTTTAACCAAACACTAAAATCCAAATTTGTATTGAAGACTGTTTGTAAGTCAAATGTGGTGATCATCCTCTTTTGTGTTCTATGCTAGCCATGACCAGCATCAATACATTCTGTTCCTAGCATTGCAGAAAAATAGGCAGACAGGCAGGCAGGCAGGCACTGTACTATTTATAAAAGGATTCTTAGAAGGACAATTCAGACAATCCTGAAATTCCTTGTTTTTTTCTGAATTTAATCAGGCCAGTTGCTAGTGACCTCGACCTGAATAAGGTTGCATTGAACACTTTTTTCAAAAGTGTATCTTCAGGCAGGCTGCCTGAAGCTAAGTTATTAGAAGTGGTAAAGCTACAAGGTCAGTTAAATCAAATTGCTTTTAGCATCAATAATAAATGGACAACACTCGAGCCCATTCAGGCCATTTAATCAACTGTTCTCTGAAATGAAAAGCAACTTCTTTGGATCAAAATAAAATAAAGAAAACAATGGCTGGTTGTGAGGGAGTCTCCGCTTCTGTACAGACTGTGCATCAAGCTGAGCAGCAGTGGACTAGAGGGATTAAAGATGCCTGATTAAAGATTTGAGGAACCTCTGCATCTTGACATATGGTAGCCTACAGCTATCGGACGTGGGTTGCAAAAATCCAAACGACTGGTGGATGGCAGCAAAGAAACAAAGAAAACTCTCTCTGCTGCTGTTTAGTATCATCCATACTTCTGCAGCCCAGATTTGGTAACTCTAACATAGGAACACAGTCTACAACCCTACCTCAGGAAGCAAAGTGCCTTGCAGTAGCCAGGCATTGGAAGTAAGCCAGCCTCATGGCTGCCATGATATTAGAACTTGGGCACCAAGGACCAGAGCCCCAGCTCAGAAGAATGAGCAGAAAGATCCCCAAATGCAGTGTGGTTGCCTTGCCATATTTCAAAATCAGTGAAATAATTTGCTTTTGAAAACTCTCCTGCCCACCTAAAATTCCAGCCATGCTATTTCCACCCCTTCCTAATATAGCAGCCGGTATTAGCTATTATACCGGATACTAAGAGCATTCAAAGCAGCCTTGACTCGGAGACAGTAGTGTGGTCACAGCTGGCATGAGCAGCCCAGAGCATTGCCAGACATCCACATTAAATGCTATGTTCCTGTCTGTGAGCTAACAGAAAAAGATGCAGCATAAATTGCACTGCCTTAATTGCCAATTCCTATTCGGTCCTTACTGGTATAATGCAGAATAAGTTAAAGAAAGCGATTAGTGGAGTTCCTGGTCCTTATTTCCCTTCTAGCATCAGCTAGAAGAGGGGAGAATACCACTGATCAGTCCACTTAACATGTAGAAGGTCAAAGTACAAGGCTAAGCAGGTATTTTGGAGCAGCTGGTTCAGCCACCTGTCAAACGTGGTGGCTAAACAGGTTGCAGATGTAAAGATGCGACACATCTTTTATCTCTCAGCTGGGTTGTTTCTCTACTTGGGTCTAGCTCTCTTCTGAAAGACCACCAAACCCATTTCCAAAACTAATCCAGCTGATAGGTCACAAGTATGGAGGAACAATCTAAAGTGTGAGGGAGCCATCAATAATGAGCCAACTCTGTCTTCAACTGTTGCTGCAGGGAATGGCTGGCGAGGAGTGGCTGTGGCTAGAGCACCAGGAAGTGGCCTGCAAACTAGGCAAAATGGTGCCTTCCTCCCAGTAACAAAAAGAGTAAAAGCACACCCTCACAAACTCCTTTGTCAGTGAAGCAGCAGAAATACACTGATTGGCAACAGAACCCGCAGCACGCAGCTGGCAGAACTGGGCTCTTTTCCCGATTTAACTTGACCTGGGCAGGAGAAAATAGGTTTCAAAGCCCTGCTTTAAAAAAACAGGTCTAGCCTTCTTTCCAAAGAGCTCTAATTTGCGTACATTTGGACAAGCCCTTCAGAACGGGTCAGTCAGGCATTGGGCAGAGAGAGATCTGGATGGCAGCCTGGTGTCTGTCTCTCCTGCAGTCCCAGCCAAAATGGCCAGGAGGGCAGTGGCCAGGAGGGCAAGTGGCCAAACATTGACAGGCAGATCTCAATCCCTCCCCATGTTATCCACTGCATTATCAGGGAAGGACGCTGGCTGTTAGAAGAAGGAAAGAACTACTTTAAAACCAGAAAGGCTAATATGATTTTAAGCTTCCTCTGCTGTGGTCTGGGGATGATGGCCATGTTATATAACTGGAGTTTGTTCATGCTTAGCAGGATGTGAGGATGAGCCCTAGGATTAGCAACTATGCTCAGAGAACTGGGGCAACAGTGAGGAAGGAAAGAGGAGGAATGAAGGGAAAGAGCAGTAGTTGGAAGGAAAGCTGATGCCTTCATTCTCCCCCATCCAAACTATTGAGAAATCAGGTTCAGGGATCAAGGGCTCTTGTTCATCCAATCTCTCCCGTTTTTATTGCAGTGAACCAGTTCAAGGATACATCCAAGCAAATCCAGCCTGGTACTGGGCTTCCTAGTAAGTACAGATTTCATCTCAGAGATTATGTATTTGTCAGCCATCATTGTAAGTGTGGCACCCTTTAGGGCAGCGCTTCCCAAACTTTTTCCTTTATTACCCAAAACCCTAACTTTGAACGGTCACTGAACGAATGGTCGCAACTTGAGGACTACCTGTATTATAAAAACAATATAATTGAATGATCTTTATGTCATTTCAACAAATTAACACTGGTAATTTCATCAATTTTCATCTGAATAGGAATACTTTGGGAGATTTTCGAATATATTTTAGTACATGTGGCAATCTATACTTTGGGAGATTTTCGAATATATTTTAGTACATGTGGCAATCTATACTTTGGGAGATTTTCGAATATATTTTAGTACATGTGGCAATCTATACTTTGGGAGATTTTCGAATATATTTTAGTACATGTGGCAATCTTTAAGTCAATATAAATGTCCCTGTTGTGATTGGGCAGTGGGTTTGTGTGTCATTACCCAAAGAAAAACCACTTTTACCCAATTTTGGGTCATTTGCCCAAGTTTAAGGGATTAACAAAATTACCCTATAGCTTCATTTCATTTTTTTTTTTTCAAGGAGAAGGTGACATGGACTGGCCTAGCCAACCAGGATCAAAGTGTAAAAATGGTCATAGCCAATTTAATCAATTTTTTTCTGTGGCTGTATGTTGTTTGAGGAGTTCAGTCTGGTCACCATGTCTACATTCCTTTGTTTACTCTGCCTCTGTACTCAGAGTCATCCATGCTCAGTGGTTGAAATGGGGGAGGGAGAAGGAGGGAGGGTCCTCAGCCACATGTCCCCACTGTTTTTGTTATTCCGTATTTTGCTGCAGATTCTTTCTTTTTTTAAAACAAGGCTACAGGACAATTCTGCTTTGACTAAAATTAGCAGATTTCAGAGGATGGAGTTTGTGCTGTTCATTATGCTCCCACACACCTTTCCTCTACACATACTTGGGCCATGTCTCTCGGATTCTCTAGAGAAAGGAAGAGGATCCTGCCCATCTTTATCGCTGTCTTCTCTGATTAGAGGCCTAGGAAATCTCAGACCTGCACATGTCCAATTTGCAGAGCTGGCCACCTGTTCAGAAGCCAGAGAAGAGGCTCAGTGAATAAATAAGTGCAAACAAACAACGGGGCACAAATCATGCCAAATTCATGGGCCAAAATTAGAGAATTCTTTAAGCAATAACAAGAGTAAGAACTTTAAGAAAGGATAATTTATTTAAGCAAGGTGCATACCTACAATCTTTAGTGCTGTTATTAAACATTTCAAATATTCATGCAAGTTTGGGAAATCTGGGCCCTCAGAGCTGCAACTACTACCATTCCCATTCTATATGGAAAAGCGATGCTGGGAATTGTAGTTCAGCAACATCCTCAATAATCCCTTGACCTCCCCTCAGATGGGAGACTTGAAGAAGAGAAGTAGAGTTTTCATCAGACCAGCTCATATGGAAGAGCCGGTTCTCAAGATGTTTTTGTTCCAGGTTAATTTGGAGGTCAAAACCCTTATATTGCATAAATTGGTCTTGCAGATCCATCTCCACAGACAAGTGTTTCTCCATGTTTCCCCTAATTGCAAATTTAGATGCAGACAGATGATAGCTGGGTAAGAAAATGCAGATTCTGAGATACCAAAGGAAAGTATTAGCTTTGCAGTACAAAAGAATCTTAGAAGGAAAAAACTAAGTCCAGTGATAAATGAGCATGCTGGGAAAAGAAAAGTGGGAAAGAAGAAGAATGGAATGGCTTATGCTGGAAGAGGACATGTTTTGTTTTGCTGCAAGTCTCCCTTTGCACCATTTCATGTCCGTTCAGGTGTTCAGTGGAATCAGTTCCTGTGATGACCCAGGAATCCCAGAATCTCATGGGCAGGGCATTCCACTCAGCCACAGATTGAGACTTCTGTCCTTGATGGCCCTGTGTGCAAACTTAGAATGCCAGTACCATTGGGGTGGTGGGCTCTTTGCCAGCTTTGAAGCTCTGGCAGGTACCCAGATTGGCCACAGTTCAGCTGCTGCCACGGTCAGTTGGCATATTCAATTGCCGGTCATCAAGGGGAAATCAAAGATAAGGAAATGAAGTGATCAGTATGGATAAGAGGCATCTAAAGTGGTAGAGAAAGCCCAGCAGGAAAAAGCTATACCAGCCATGAATTCATTATCAAGGTACAATAGCAGCAATAGAAGATGGGGAATTTCTTTTCCCATGCCTTGAAGAGAGAATTCAGGCAGGTAAGCTTCTTTATATACATGCAAAAACACTTCCCACAAACAAGGTTTTCTCTCCATTTCCCAAATCCCAATAATATTCTATTCTTCTCCGGATAGGTTTTGGGGTGGGGTTGGGAGGAGTCAGTCAGACAGGAGGGTGGGATGGGACAGAGCACTAATAACTTGGGTTGCTGGCTGCAAAAGCAAAATCGTAGCAGGAGTAGCTTGCGTGACAAGAGGCGCTGAATTTTCTTGTTCTGCAGAACTATTCAAGGGGCAGTACCTCTGTCCTCTTCTACAGGTGCCAACTTTTCAGATTGCTTTGATTCTTCAGCCTAATGGCATACCACAGCCTGACTATTGCAAATGTAACTGGAAACCTGCCTTCCCATTAACAAGCCGATTTCCTTACCAGGCAGACGTTGACTGTCTGGGGAGCAGTTTAAGGTTACATTCTATTAAACTTTATCTCGTGGAAAAATACTGGCGGAATGTTTAGGTTCTCTGGGGAGCGAGGGTTAACCTCCTGTTCTCTTTTGAATGAGATGCCTTGGGTTGCTAATAAAGCTCCATTGCATTTTGCTAGTTGGTTGCAGTACACGGATGGCCTTTTCCCACCCCTGTTAGAATTGGAGTGGGGAGGAGGAATTTCTGTTTTCTGCCCCTCCAAGATGGAGTCTGGATTTCAACATAAAGCTTAAAGGACTTTGAAAGTATGTGCCAAATTAGCCATCCACTTTAAGGCTAATTCTCTTTAGGTCAGTATCTCTATTGGGAGATATATATATAGAGAGAGATAATTATAAATATATAGATGGATATGTGTGTGTGTGTGCCTTCTAGTCAGTCTTGACTCCTGATGGCTGCCTGGACAAGTCCCTGCAGTTTTCTTGGCAAGATTTCAGAAGTGGTTTGCCATTTAACTCCTTCCTAGGGCTGAGAGAGAGGGACTGGCCCAAGGTCACTCAGCTGACTTTGTGCCTAAGGCAGGTCTAGAACTCCCTGTCTCCCAGTTTCTAGCCTGATGCCTTTAAACACTGCACCAAACTGGCTCTCTATATAGAAATATAGATATTTGCAAGTGCACGTCTGACAGTCTTTTGCCACAGACTGTCAACTGATCATGGGAATTGTAATCTAACACTTCTGGAAGACACCTGAGTATGGGAAGCTTATATAAAAGTAGAGTTCTAGAGCTGAACAAATATTTTGAAAGGGGTATTTTGGAATGCACTGGCACAGGTACAACATGAAGCTCCTCTTTCCAACTCATGAAAGCAGCCACGTCTTTTATCAGCCTTGTGCAGCTGCTCTAGAAGCAGGTCCTGGCTGTCTGTGCCCTGGTGAGTGTAGATCTACAGCATTTTCTTAGGGCTGTGTGGGCACATGGATGGGAGACACTGGGAACAGCTTCCAAAGCACGGCTTTTCAAACTGCTAAATTGTTCCATTTTTGAGAGACCCGCTTCCATGGGTTCCACGGCATCTCTTTCAAAAGAATTGTGCTGCCCTAACATCCACCTATTGTGGAACAGTGCTGACTCAAACTGCAGACATTAAAGTCCTGTGCAGAGGAAAACCTCAGCAGAACTGGCTTGGGGCACATAAACTGGAGGAGACGGCACGTGGTTATTTTCTCCTCTACCATAACACAAGGATTGGACTTTGTCTAGGATACTGTATACTTCCAAACCTGTCCCTCAAATATCTGTCATCCTTACTACAGAAAATGTGCCATAATATTCACAGCAGTAGAGATCGGCCTAGTAATAAAAGGCAAGGTGTGGAAGCTGGGAAGGGCTTGTATAATTTGAGGCATAGAAATATGCTGGTCCCTTCCCCTTCCTGGAATCTGGTATCAGGGCTGCGACTGGGCTCGGTGGACAAAATATCTGACTTGGTATTAGGCCATTGTTGGATCAGAGGCTGAAAGCAGCTGTTTACTTAATTTTATGGGAGAAAGCACAGAGACGTATTTAGGGACACCATTAGGGAGGGGGCTTCCTGATCTTGGTGACACCAGCCTATTCATGGGCCTTCTCCCTTTCTTGCAACTATGTAGTTTCAACCTGAAATCTGTTTTACTGTGCTTTGTTCTGGTGATCACAGTAGGTTGCAATGGAAATGTTATAATTACCATTGCCTTTTTAGTGTACAAAGAATCATTATGTCCAGTATTTATATAGTACTTTTTTCTCAGAATTTGTTCACTAATGATCATCTATGAAAGAAAGAAAGGAAGAAAAATGCTTCAGATTCAGAGCAACAAGAGGCAGGATTCCCCCTCCTCCCCTTGATTCACTCTCTTTCTCTCTCTCTTTTCTCCTCCAAGTGCTGTTTTCTTTATCACCTATTTGATCCTTGCCTGCTGCTCTGGACCAAGGTAATATTACCCAAGAGGTTTGGACTCTATGTGCTGGGTCGGTCCTGTTTGGGGAAGAGGCGGTGCTATTGTGGAGTGTGGATAGAACGTCATGTGAGCCAGTCCCTTTGGCCTGTCTGAAGAGCCAGAGAGGGCCACCTAGATTTTTATGGGTTTGCTTCGTTCTGGGGAATAGAGCAGAGGGGGTTACAAGGTTTTTGTATTGTTATTGGGCTAATTAAAAATGCAACAAATAAATTATGTTCACTTACAGGTGAACAAGTTGAGCATAACAGGAAGAACAAGAACATAGACAATACGAGTCTTCAGATGAGCATCAGTTTTCAAAATAGGTCTAGATTTTTCTTTGCACAAGCTCTCCTTTGCCTGCCAACCATAAAACTCAGCCATCTGCCCCTTTGGGGGCTGAAACAAAAATGTCCAAATGGTTTCTCCCAAATCCTCAGAGTAGTAGTTGAATGCATTCAATGCATAGTAGCCACCAGCCATCAATGCTCTTTTAGAACTACATCCTGTATCCATTAATGCTCAGTGAAGAAATGCTCCCATCTTTTAATTATTAAAAAGTTTAAGTCATCATCTTTTCATCTGCAAGTCTAGGATAAAATCCTCAGTTCTAAATGGTTAAGATTCAGGACCTCTGTTCTAACAAATCCACAGAAATGATTCTAGGAGGGGGGAAAAAGAGGATGAAAGAAGGAAAAATTCTGGAAGGAAAAAAAGGAAAAAACAAGAACAGCTTGACATAATGAACATGACTAGCTCAGATACTATCTTTCAGTTGCATCAAAAGACATTTCCCATATTTCAGTGCTTTGTCTTGGTATTTCATGATGGGGGAAGTTCTCTACTGAATATGTATACATTACATACATTAGATGTTATACATTAGCTTGGAAAGGAAAGGGAAAGTTCTTATTCACCTGACTTATTCACCTACCTTGGTTGAAAGAACTGATGTATCTCAATGCCTTAATATCTTGGCTAATATTTGATCCAAATTAGGCTGGTTAGCTTTTCAATCAGCTCTAGCTGCCCCTTTAATGGCTGCTCAGCTCCATCGGCAGCTATTAGGAGGTGATAGTTAATTTTCATGCCATAAAAATGCTTCACCCACTAACTCCTGCACCTTAGGCTTAATCGTAATTCAGGTGAAGCTGGTGCCTTGATATCAGGCCTTTTTGTGTACTAGAGTTCCTGCAAAATTGTACTTGCTGTGGCCTGATGGCTTTAATTGCTCTGTTGTTCTTTAATGATCTTATTATGCAAGTTAATGATATACAACTTGCCTTTCATGATGATGCACTTTGGATAACCAAGTTCACTCAACTCCCTTTCATTTAATTCACAGGAGGTACTTCCCATGGAACCTGATCCTCCTCAGCATCTTTGTAAGTAGTACAGCCAGTGCTGGGACTGTTGCTCAGCCATGGGGGAGTTTTACCGCACACCTCCCCTCTAATCTGTAAATTCAAAAGGCTAAAGGGTTACCGCCCACCTATTTTAAACCACAAGTAATCATGGCATGCACTATTAGTGACACCCATACAATGGATCAATAAGGGATACATTGTCAACTCCTGAAGATTCCTGATTCCTGCTCCTCATTGTATTGCAGATGAACTGAGCACATCAATAGTGGAAGAAAAATTAACAGGAACAGCAGGAGTTTCATCCTCAGGACTGTGAACCTGGCCTGCATGTAGCTGTCTAAGGTGTCTGTGCAACACCTTCCTTAACTTGCATAATTACCTAGTTATGCACAAGTCATGCCTCACAAGTCCAGGTCCAGCATGATAGCCTCTTAGGAGGACCCCTGTTTTGTCCAAAAACTCCTTTACTCTCTTCCCTTATTTTTCCAACAGGAGATAAACAATAGATGGTTATAGGATATGGTAGACTACAGAAAGTGGTCTTCCAGCTTAATTGTGAATGTTTGCCTTGGATAGGCTCAAAGAATGATATCCTTAAACAGTTTTACATCCTTTTTCCTTTTTAACCTCCAGCTTTTGTTTCTGCAATAACTAAAGATCTTTATTTTCAGACTCTGTCCATGGCCTACCTGACAGGAATGCTCTCCAGGTAAGTCCCCATACTAGGCACCTGAATAACTTGCTGTGTGTGTATGTGTGCGCGTGCATGCGCTTATATTTTTCTCTGACAATTTTTCTGTAATCACTACCTCTGAAAATTGAGCCATACATCAAATATATAACTTGATTCTGATTTCTAGACTTTCTAAAACCATTGTTTTTCAGTTCCTCAACTGTAGCCCAAATCTGAAGCCAATAATCAACTACATATAATCAGCCACCTTTTCCCAACAGGGTTGAACATCATTTGTATTGTATCTCGAACATTAGGGAATGTGATAATATTTATTTAACCTAGCTGGCATGTAGTAGCATTGATGCAGGATTTTTTTAATAGATACATCAAGACACAATACTCTGTTTTCAGAACTAAGACCACCCTCTTCCTGTAGTATTTTATCCCAAGATCTTTTTCATTTAAGGAAAAGAAAAGAAAGTTAGACTCAGCATCAAATGAACTGCATTTGTTTGACAGGTAGGGAAGACAATCTGATAGTATTGGCAAGTTTGCCACCTTGAGTTGTATATGAAAAAAAAGGCGGGATAAAAATCTAAAAAAAAAAAAAAGATTAAGTGACTGGGACAGAATTGCAGGCAAACTCACCAGTTTTCTCCTAAAGTGGAATCCTTTTCTGGTTTGCACAGAAGCTAGTAAGAAAGAAAAAACTAATCATAAAACCCCAAACACTAATTCTGTACTTATTTATTAAACTCTCATTTTTAATTCCCAATAAAGGCGCTCATTGTTTGATATTGGTTGGCCAAAGCTTTAAGATTAAGAGCATTTCCCCTCAACTGAAAGGAAAGGGAAAATATTACAGTAGTTATTTTTATTTTTGTTCTGTTAATTTTTCTTACTCTTTGAAATCATAACTGTAAAACTGTTTTATAAATTGAAATTAATTTAACAAGTTATTCATATAACTGGCAGTGAACTCTACTAAATTATAGGACTTTTTTTGGTAGACATGTATAGCATTGTACTGTTAGTTTACTAACAGCGAAGTAAAACTGCTCAGTCTCTCTATTGCAAACTGGCACATATGATCAAGTTTGTTTCTGGGGCCAAATGGATGAGAACGGAGATCATGGTGCCAAGGCACCCACAACATTCCTAGATGGCTTATATAGATCCATTTTGTAAAAACTGAAAATGATTGAAATGACAAGATTACCAAGCCTCATGATATTTTGAGGGGATTATGCTCATTTTAAGGTGAAATCCTGAGAACCTTTAACAATCTTGAAAAATTGTCAGCGATTTTTAAATGGATGGAGTACCTATACATTGCCTAAGATTACCCGGTAGAGTCTTTAAAATGGAGTGGATTGCTAGCTTACATATTTGTTTTCTATCCTTTTCCTGTAATAATTGAAACCATTTTTTTCAGGGAACTATATCTGTCTCCTTGATCACACCTCTGTGCAAATGGGCAAAATAAATCAGCCCAGGAACAGAACATTTGCACGATTGTGTTTCTAATTTATAACCTCACGTGGTGCATAAAGAAGTAGAAAGGAAATGGTAGCAGAAGGACTGTCCCAATTTTTAACTCCCCTGGAAAGACATAGTTTTAGGAAACCAAGAATAGGCTGATAGTGTGAAACTGCTGTACAGTAGCTCTAATTCTGCCCAGAAATGAATAGAATGGGGGTGGGGGGAAGATGCTAGAAAGAATCTTCCTCTTCAGTCTGTGTCTGGTCTGGGTCTTGTATAATCCTCCCTTTGTTTCTGCTGTAACAATCTCGTGCAGCGCAACATCATGGATTTCCATTGTTCTGTATTTATCAGCCAACCAATGGGGTGGGGGGTGGGGGGGTGGGGAGAGCAAATGGGCTGTGCGGAGCAATAAACAAAGCTGTCACTCAAGCACAGCATCCCAGAGAACCGAACAGAGCAATCACTCCAATGCCTCGCCTCCCTACCCAGCAAGCTTTGCTGCTGTTGCAAAAGAAGACAAATTGCATGAGCATATCTTTCTAGAAGCACGTTCCATTAAAATCAGTTAGGATTTCGGCAAAAACACATTTAAGGTTGCAGTGCCTGAATGTAACCCGTGTTTCTTAGTAATTATTTGATTAGATCTTGACTAACACATTCTGCCCATTTTTCATCTCACTTTAAAGGCTAAGAAATATTTGTGGACATCAATAACAAGTGGGAAGTCCTACAAACATTGCAGTTTGGAATTTTTCTATTGTTGATTTCAAGCCACTCCCCTCTATTTGCCCTACCACCCCAAAAAGATAAGCTGTAGGGAGCATGGCCATCCTCACTGGGCTGTTTTTGGTTATCCCCCAATTTAAGCTTGCCCCCTCCCTCTCTCCCTCCCTCCCTCTCGCCACTGCTCAGATTTTAGGCTGCAGATGTTACTATTCTGACTATTTTAAGTCACATTCTGGGAATGTGTTGATTTCAACTCTCAAGATTCTTCAGCCACACAGCTGTTACTAAGAAGTTTGGGAATTGAACCTCACACATCTGGAGGCTTGGAAAAGGCTGGCAGAAAGCCTCAGGACATAGAAATGGACAGGCTAGATCAGCTCCTCATCACTAACGATGGCCAACTAGATTATTCTGGAAAGAAGACAGGCCATGATGGTAATTGCCACCCGTTAAAAAAATAGATATAAAAATTAGAAGATGATTCTCCCTTATAGCGTGGTATCCCACCATATGGACCTGTGCATGCAGAAGGTTTCAGGGTTAATTTGTAACATTTCCAATTTTGTAATTTCTAATGTAACATTTCCAGTCTTGGGTAGCAGATCTGGTAACCTGAGATCTTGGTGTTATATCACTAGTAGGAGTGGCAATGCATGCGTAAGTAGGCCAATGGCCTCATTTAATACAGAGCTCGAGACGTGGAGATAGCTATCAAAGTGGAGGACTTTAAAATATCAAGTAGCATCTGATGGGAAAGGCCTTTCCTTGAAACTCCAGTGCTGTTCAGAATAGATAGCACTGGGCAAAATAACTAAAGGGTCTGACTTTGTATGAAGTAGCTTCCTATGATCCATTTTAACTGAGAAGGAAAGGATGACTCAGCTACAAGAGATCTGGTATACATTCGATTTACACTGTGATCCAGACAAACATCCCAAGAATTTCTGGTCAGATTACAAGATGACAGAAAAATAATATAATTATTCTTGGGGGGAAAAAGGATTATTTATCAACAAGTATTAAATATCAAATATTCCACATTGTGATGAGTGGGAGGCTCATATCCCTATTCTACATATATAATTATAAAATTGAATCAATTAAAAGAGAAAATCAAAATTAAGTCCACCTGAGGGTTCTTAAAGGAGAACTTCTACTAACACATCTATAAACTAGTCCCAAAGATTGTTCTCTATAACCCTGAAGGTTATAGGGATGAAAGAAGATCAAGACTTGAAGACTTGAAAGAAGATAAAAATGATTGCCCAATGTCATTGTTGAATAATGATTATTAGTTATTTATGATGATTTTAGCTGAGAGAATAAAGATGATTTGACAGGACTTTATTCATGAAGATCAGTGTGGGTTTTTACCTAAAAGACAGTTGAGGGACAACATTAGAAATATATTGGAATTTTGGAATACTTAGAACAATATAATGAAAAGCAAGCAGCACTGATTTTTCTTGATGCAGAAAAGGCCTTTGACAAATTGAACTGGACCTTTTCGTTTAAAATTTTGGAAGATATGATAAGATAAAGATATTTTTTTATGATAAGCTAAAATTTGGGCATGAATTTTATCAAATGGGTAAAATCGATTTATACCTCACAAAAGGCACAGATAATTGTGAATGGAGAATTAGGGATAATTAATATCTGTGACATATAGAACAGAACCAGACAAGGATGCCCCTTATCACTATTGCTATTTATTTTAGCTTTGGAAGTACTGAACAGAGATATATGATGAGATAGAGAATTGCTGAAGTGAAGATTAAAAGAGAAACGTAAATTACGGGTGTTTGCTGATGACCTGGTGATAATTTTGGAAGATCCTCTGCAAGGAATAGAAATATTAATGGAAAAACTAAAGGATTTTGGGGTGTTAGCTGGTTTTAAAATTAATAAACAAAAGATGAAAATGTTAACAAAGAATATGAAAATGGAAAAAACAAATAGAACTGATGGAAAAAACTGGTTTTAAGATTGAGAAAAAAGTGAAATCACTATGACTAATATAAATTGTACGTTGTACCAGAATAATTTTGTTAAGACATGGAATGATATCAAGAAGGACATGTTAAGATGGGAGAAATTTCAACTGTCATTGTTGGGGAGATAAAAATGAATGTTTTGCCAAAAATGATGTATTTGTTTCAAACAATACCTATCATGACAACTGTTGTACCATTTAAACAATGGCAGAAAGATATGACTAAGTTTGTATGGCAAGGGAAAAAAACAAGAGTTAAATATAAAATATTTCAATATGCAAAGGAACAAGGAGGATTGGGACTGCCTGATTTAAAATTGTATTTTGAAGCCTGTTGCTCAGTCTGGATGAAAGAGTGGGTTTTGCTGAGAAATAAGAGAACTTTAAAATTAGAAGAGCATGATCTGAGGTTCAGATGACATGGTTTTCTATGGTATGATAAATTAAAGGTTAACGTAGATTTTAAGAATCATTATATTAGAAGTGCCATATTGAGAATATGGAACATATATAAACCCAGTCTGTGCCCAAAAATGCCTTTATGGGTCAAGAAGCATTTTACAGGAAAGAAACAGTAGGTAAAGAAAAATGGTTAACCTATCAAGAGTTGTTAGAACAGGAATATGGAAAATATAAGATGAAATCAAAGAGCAATTGGCTGCAGAGGGATTTAATTTTCAATGGTTTTCATAGGCACAGTTAAGAGAAAGATTTAAGATAGATAATAGGACTTTTGGAATTGAACAGTAGAAGACAGAAGTTGAAGTTGAACTATACAAATGATGAACATGTAATTGTTAAAATGTGTAAACTTTTATTAAAATTTGAAACAGAACAAGTGAAAAAGACTGTACGATAAAACGGGCTAAGAACTTTGGTCACAATATACTGATGGAACAGTGGGAAAATATGTGGTTAAAGGGATTGAAATTTACATTATGCTATAACCTAAAAAAGAATTTTTATCAAATGATGCACCGTTGGTATATGACTCCAGAAAAATTGTCTAGAATGTATAAAGGTACTTCAAATTTATGTTGGAAATACGGACAACATGAAGGGTCATTTCATCATGCCTGGTGGATCTGTAAAAAAGTCAGAAATTTCTGGGTTCAGATACCTATAACGATACAAAGAATTTCAAACATCAAAATTCAACTGAAACCAGAACTTTTCTTGCTAGGATTAATGGACAGTCAATTAGAAAAAAGTTCCAGAGATTGTTCTCTATAACCATGAAGATTGAAATTGGCCAACGTATTGCCAATTTTTAACAAAGGGATCCATAGACAAATTAATACATTCTAAACAGACTTTCTTGTGGTGTCATGTTTACTGCTTGATTCTGCTCAATGACGTCATGTCATTACTCCTTTTGCAGCTACTACAACACCAAGTCCGTCCTCCTCTGCCTGGGGATTACAGCTTTGGTTTGCCTCTCCGTCACTATATTTAGCTTCCAGACCAAGGTGCGTAAATGCATTTATAAAATAGCTGAGTCCCCCTGATTTTACCATCCCATACGTAAGCAGAGAAGTTTTTCTTTGTTAAAGTTAGCAGATAAGCATTTTTTGATAAAGTTATTTGCAGTCTTAACAGAAACAGCTTTCACTCTAGAGCAGTGTTTCTCAAAGTTGGCAACTTTTAAGATGTGTGGACTAGAGTTTCCATCACTGAGCAAAGGAACTGATTTATATTGCATCTCTTGTCATGCAGGTAATGGTTGTCTTGAACAGCAAACTTTCCTTGGAATTAGCCTTGCCTCTCTCCCCTCCCGTCCCCAGATTTGAGAATTGGATCAAGTATTGGCAGCTAGGAAGTTAAAACTACTTTTCTCCTGCTGAGAATGAAGTTATTCGGCAACTTTTCAAATGGAGAAAAAACTATTGGTATTTTTATTACCAAAAAGTCCTCTTCAAACAGTATGTTCAAAACACCCTACAGGCATCACTCATTCAGAAGAACTTTATCAGGCAGGAACAGCAAGAAACGCAAAGTATAGTGGAATAATTTGGGATAATATTTTGCCCCCACTACATTGCAAGTCAAAAGTTTTCTATTGTTTGGAAGGCCTGAGTTCATGCTGTATTGACAGACTGCCTTGACCTAATCCCTATTTATGAATTTCCCCCATCATTGGTATTGAGGGGTGTATTAGATACCATGGAAGGGAACTTACATGTGTCAAAAATAATATACAGTAAGTTCAGGGAACATATAATAAAGGGTATAAAAATGGAGAAGGGTGGTGGTGAGTCACATATGGGTACTAAATGAAATAGCAAATGTTTGGGAAAAATTCTATTCATTTATGGGAGCCCCCTCAATCTTGTGACTTGGACCCCTTGGATATCAACTCCAGTGGTACATTAAAGGGGTGGGTTCAATGCATCTGGTAAATATTGTTGGGAAAGGCAGATGTGGGCATCAGTTAGGCTATCCAGAAGCTAGGGGACTTTCCAATTCACCCATGCAGCTTACACTAATGTTCTCTTGTTTTCTCCCACAGTATGACTTTACATCTTGCCAGGGGGTGCTCTTTGTGATGCTGATGGTGCTGCTCTTCAGTGGGGTCATACTGGCTATTATGCTTCCCTTCCATTATGTAAGTTTCATGTTTTTGTCAACCAAATCTATATTCGCATCCTTCCAAGTGTTATTTCACCACATCCAATAGAAGGTGAGATGCAGGACTATCTGCCTATGCCCAGTTATGCAGTTTAGCTAGATGCCAAAAACATTATCTTAACTTTCTCCTCTCCATTAGTTTTCCATTATATCTATACTACCTTCACCAATCAGACTGCAGAAAGATCCTTGGAAAGCAAATATGGTTCAAGAATGTGAGCCTGACTAGAAATTTGGAAGGGAAATTATTTCCTTTCTCCTTTATCACTAGCCAGTCTCACCTGGTGAAAAATCTTTCTTGGTATCAAAGCTCAGGCAGACTCTGAGAAGGGTTAAGTGCTCTAGACATCGCAAGGGAACCATAGCAGTGCAACAAGATGTACAACATATCATTTGTTTTGCAAGGGGGGAGGTGGGGTGATAAGACTAGGGATGGGAAATCCGTGGGCCTTGCGATGTTGCTGGACGAAATGCCCTGTATCCATTGACTAGAGTTGCTAGGAGCTATTATTCAATAACATTGCAGAGGACCACAGGTTTCTTCTCCTTGACAAAGACTGTTAAGCTGCAAGTCTACTAAGGAGAGCAACCTAGGGCTAGTTTTCTACATGTTCTTACAAAATGTTTGAATCGTGAGTGTGCAAATGGCTAAAAATAAAACTGTGCAAACATTATTTCCTATGTTAATTAGAATTCCATGCAGCTCCTAGTAGGCACCATTTGGATTTCCCACCTTACGCAAACCAAAAAACCCCATAGAGTGCTGCACAAATAGGCTCTTAAAATTCTTTGTTCAATTTGATGACTGAAAAAAGAATTGAAGGTTTGATTTCATCAACTATCTCCAGGGTCAGAAGAAATTCTCAAAGTTTCTTAGGGGAAGATGGTAGGTGGGATTCCTCTTTAGAAATGTTGGCCAAACAGGGAGCATTGGCTTATGTTGTGTTGGCCTATGTGGTGATCATCCTAGATGTGCTTTGTTTGCTTGATTTTGGGCTGGGCTTGGCTTTCTATTAGCCTTGTTGGCTGGGATCATTTGACATAGCTAATTGTTTCCCACTGGAAAATCATTTTGAACTTCCATTCACGTACTGCTGTTATTATCATTCTGAAATAGTAGAAGATGCCATTTGCAATGGGGTGACTTTCTGTCCACTATTATCTAAAAGAAGCGTAGGCTTCTGATAGCGTATGGGAGAAAGGGGTTACTTTATTGCTGGAGTTTTACGTTCTGTGAGAAACAACATCTTCTCCCCAGAGATGTTCATTTAAAAAATAACATTGATGGATTGGATATATAGCAGTTACCAACCCCTTTCACCATATCCAGGCCATTAAATGTGGTTGGTTTTGCTGTTCTTTGGTTTTGTAGAATCAAAACAAATGAATCTACTGAGAAGTATAGCATCTCAGAGGGAGCAGGAGGCCAGTAGAAAAGTTGGGGAGTTAGCAATAACTTTAGCCTGGTCTTCAGAGTATCTGATCCCTGTGATCAGTTCACTCAGATGAACCTTGGACCCCTGCATATCTTAATTTGCCTAAAGTCCTGACGGGTAAGGCTTATTATTTCTAGTAAGAAAACAAAAATCGGTCAGATGAAAACGCATTCACTTGTTTCCCGGGAATGTTGAAGAGGGGAGTTATAGAAAGTAAGACCCCAAAATTTTACAAAATCTAGCATGTGTAAAAAGTTGTGTTTCATATTCCATCCTCTCCAAATGGCTTTCAGCATATTCTTGTATTAAAAGAACTAATCAGTCAAGCCCCCCCCCATTTACAATTGCCACCTACCAAGGCAACAAACTGATAAAAGCTTTACCATGTGATCCCGTGTGGATCCTCTTTTTACTATCCCTATAGTAAGCAACAAAGAGTTTCCCCAAGACACACACACACACACACACACACACACACACACTTCTTTGAGCATGGTAATTATAAAAGGAGATAACTATTCAAAATCTGACTCAGGGGAATGCATGCTTTCGTCATCTACATGAGGCCTGACAATGTACAAATGAGATGTTATCAGCTATGTAAAAATATATAACACATTCCAGTCATACATTCATCTTAAATATTAACAGGAACAAAAATGGGAGAGTATTATTGCTCACATTTCTGAATTATTCAGGCCCAAGGTGAATTCAGTGGTGCTTTTTAATTAGCCTCACTATATGAAAGCAATGAAATCTTGCTCCTTAAGTACACATAGATACTCACAGACACACACGCACTGATAGAAATAGTAGGAACTGGATGCCTAAAGATTTAGCCTTCATTTGCCCCATTTGCTTGAATGAGGCCACCAGCACAGTTCTGCAGGCACAGAAGTCCATAAGAATATCCCAACAGATGAGTGAACTTCCTGCCAGAGACAGAATGACCGAATGAATAGAATGAGGATGGTGCCTGCAGGGCCATCTAGTCTCACCCCCCCCCCCTAAATGCAGGATGTCCAGTGCAGGATGAACTACACCATCCCTAACCATGTTTACTGTGCTGGTGAAGGACAGCTTTGCAACCATTTCAAGAAGGAGCTCCAGTCCCACAAATGAACAACTCCTACCACTGGGAGCTTCTTAGGTGTTGCTGGAATCTGCTTCCCTGCATTTTCCACCCACTGATTTTCCACCCACAAGACTACCTATCATTATACTCACTTGGTTCCCCCCCCCCTTCTTTTGGAAACATTTCTATTTTTGTAAAAATAGATTTGAGAGTCAACCGAACCTTCCTCCTTTCAACAGTCGGGTGTTCCTCTCCTTGTTACAAGTTACATTACTTTCTGTCTTATGATCCCAACACTCTGTCTCTTTCTCTGTAGGTGCCATGGCTCCAGGCCATTTATGCTGTACTGGGTGCAATTGTATTTACAATGGTAAGTCAGCATTGCCTGCATTATCTAGGCTCAAGCAGGAGTCCTTTCAATAGCCGTGGGTCACAAGCAGTTTTGCAGAAGGAGAGCAGCAAGGGGTGAAAGTGGGCTTGGTGATGATGCAGCGTGGGTGGAGTCACATCACACACATAGACCAGGAGGTTCTGTTTTGGGTGGGCGGTCATGAAGAGACTTGGGGGTATTTTTTTAAAAAAATTCTGTGAAGCCTATCAGGGAAGCCTATCAGTTGCCACGTATTACCTCTTCAAAGTGATGGGAAACTATCTGGCAGCTGAACAAATGTGACTTGGGGGCATTCTATATCCTTAGGGCTGAAGGTTGCCCACATTTGGGTTAAAGTAGAGAGATTTGTCTGTCCCTTTTATGATATTGCAATAATCTTATAGAAATTTGGTAAAATGTTTACCAAATGGGCAAGCGTCATTCCTCAAGTATATCTGCCTTCAAATGGAAGATGATCCCCTTGGACAATGCGATGCTTCAGTTCAGGAATCCAAAGTAGACTAAAGCATCCAGAAACATGCAGGCCAAGGAAAACTAAAACAATGTATTCTGCAATGTGCCATAGGCAAGGGGACTGTGGAAAGTATACAGTATTGACGATCAGTTTCAGGCAAGTTGGTCCCAAGATAAGAATCTGTGGTTGGAAAGTGTACTGAGCCTGGTTTTTATCCCCATAATGAGGAAAACCCAACCTCCTCTCCCAGAATTTTTCGTTAAACAATCCGGTCACCTTTTTAATTGTTTGGATTTCTGCACCAATGCAAAAAACCCAGAAATGTGGACTATTGCCAGATGGATGAATCAATGGTCTCAATAAACCCATCAACATTTTTTTCTTTAAGGCGCGTGCTAGAAGTTTGTAGGCCACATAGTTGTATTCAAGAGATGTTAACTGAGTCTCACAAGTACATTCATTGAGGGAGACTTGCTACATAGACTTTGCCTCTTCTCTATTCTGGGCTCTGCTATGCTGAAAGATGCAATAGAAACAAAAATCACAGAAAAAGGCAGTGGTGCAGTGAAAATATTGTAGATTGGTCTCAGGTCAGGTCTTCTTTTGTGTATTGTTTCCCTGTCCACTGCTATAGTCTAAGGATAGACTCAGCCAACTGAGTCAGTCAGTAGTGTTTTCAGCTCAACAGTTGGCAGCCCTCTCTCTTCATTCAGTAATCCATCTGATGTGAATGAAAATATCCTCCGTATTTGATACACATGCCTTCTGTGTGCTAGAACATTTCTCTCTCCATTTGCCAGGGTTCCTGAAAAATCTCTCTGTGTGGATTTCTCTGTACACTTCTCTGAGCTACCAAAAGGTTTTCTTCTTTTTGGCCCCACCCTCCATCCCCCACTTGCCATTTATCATCTCTACTCACTGATTCTGGGACCTTTGAATCTTGGTTCTTACGCATGTACTCAGTGATAGGAAAGATATACACATATATAGGCCAACCTAAGCTAAATGGGCCACTGCCCTAAGCCAACAAGGTTATCCGGTCTGTTTCTGTAATCCTGTTAATAATACTGGAATAAACCAACTCTCCACTTCCAATTCCCTTGGGAAACAAAGAAAGGCTGTTCCCTTTGCTGATTGTGGTACTTTGCACCTTTGATAACCCAAGATTGCTCATGTCACTAAACCACAAATATGAATGTTGGGTCCTGCCAAGATTTTTAATGGGGCTTTTAAGGAAGCCATCATGAAGCAAAGGAATAAAGATGGAAAATAATAATAACATTAGAAAATTAGCTTGAGGCTCCCCTGGGTTGGTGTTGGAATGATGCTGAAATACAATTTTGACATTAGGACAGCTTAAGGCTGTCTCACTTATCGGTTGGGATGAAGCAGCAACAAGGGGGAAACAGCAGAAAAAATATTTTGCCAGGGCATGTTTTTGCAGCAGTTAGGGAGGGGAAGTTTGGTGTAGTGGCTAAGGAACCAGACTAGAAACCGGGAGACCAGGACTTCTACTCCCACCTTAGGCAGGAAGCCAGCTGAGTGACCTTGGGCCAGTCCCTCTCTCTCAGCCCTAGGAAGAAGAAGGCAAGGGCAAGCCACTTCTGAAAAGCCTTGCCAAGAAAACTGCAGGGACTTGGCCAGACAGTTACCAGGAGTCAAGACTGACTCAAAGGCACACACCAGAAAAAAAGGGGGGGGGCAAGTGAGAAAAGCAGATGTCTGAAATTTAGGGCATCTAAGTTTTCTTTGACTAACATCACTTCACTTGTAGTTGTGGAGCTGGAAGCACCATTTCATGAGGCTTGCACGGATGGGACAATAATATGAAGAATATTATAATGTACAGATTCATTTCTAGCTTGAATTTTAATCTAGGCCAGAGAAGAATCTTCCTCAGCCAGCCTTTTCTTCTCTTGCAAATTACTGGAAAAGGAGACCTTCAACTATGGAAACACAGTGGTTGGCTTTGGACCATTTTTTCTCATCTTAACCTACCTCATAGGCTTATTGTAAGGGAAATCGAAGAACAGCCAGATGGGACCCAAAGAAAAATTGGGATATAAATCTAATGAATAACCTCTCCATTTTTTTTATTCTGACATTTAAATCCTATCCTGCTAATGAATATGCATCAGACATGATGGATGGTTTGGTTTTGATTTAGCATGTTGTATGAACCCAGCCACTATGGCTTGTTTTAACAAACCACAGTAAAAATAATCCTAGCTCAACACAATGTATGAAAGATTCCTCTGAAGGCCAGGAAAAGCAGGACAAGTCTACTGGACTGAGTGGTTCCTTTTTCATGTTCTTGTTCTAACCTCAAATACACTGCAACTCCAGTTGATGTATGGCTGGAGAAGATCCTCACCTTATAATTAAGCAAGGGAGCTTTCAGAGTGAAGAGCAGAGCTGGAAGGGAGAAGCTGAATATTCATGGATGTGAATCTAGCTGCACTTCCAAGAGAAGTATCTGGGTACATCCATGCACAGAACTATAGGCTATGTAGACACTTTTTCATATAATCTCTGCCAACTCTTTTCTTCCTAATTAGATTATGGGATTTGCGACTAGGGCCTGGGGAACCAGCAACCTTACAATTTTCCCTTTCCAAGTCTTTTGACACCTAAAGATTGCATTGCTAATCACTGTCCATGTTTGCTTTTCTCTCAGTTTCTGGCCTTTGATACCCAGCTCCTGATGGGGAATCGTCGCTATGCCATGAGTCCAGAGGAATACATCTTTGGAGCCCTCAACATTTACCTGGACATCATCTACATATTTTCTTTCCTCCTGCAGATCTTTGGGACCAGTCGAGAATGAACTTGGCTGAGTCTGTAGGTCCTGTGCCTGATAAAACAGAAATATATTTAGAGAGAAAGAGAAAGAGAGAGATTTATAATAACACAATAAGCAAGAAAGGAGAGAGGAAAAAGAAGTAACTTCTCTGGCCCTTTAGCAAGCTCATTGCATCAAGTGAGCATCTGCTCACCCACTGGCCTATTTGAGCTCCCTCTGCAGCCTGTGTGTAAGTGTGTGTGTGTGTGCCCGTACACACGCACGTGTATATATATTTATATACACATGCTGTTAGGGTAAACTGGTATATATGCTAGGCTTTCCCTTGCTTCCATAACTGCTTTCAAAATGTATGTTGAAATTAGTGTAGCAGTACTGGAAATGGCACTGAGGGGGGAAAAAAAGAAAAAAAAAGAAATACTATTGCTTTTAACCTAGAGCTGAAACAAATGAAGAAAGGAATAAGTCAGAAATTTAAGTTTGTCATATCCAAAGTGAGCAAGTTGTTAAAACTACAGAAAACCTATGTGAAGTTCATTTTGTATAATGTGCATTGTTCCAAATTTCAGAGTTTAAGTTCTGGCACAATCCCAGTCTGTATATTGTTGTTTCCACTTCTATCTGCCCCTACAAAGAGTTGAGTGGATTATATATGGTTCTCAGACACTTTTCCATCCAACTGGATAATAAGATTTTATCTGCTTAACTTTCTTGGTGGCACTCTGTTAGGGGCCTTCATTTTTGCTAGACCGTTGAGGCACACAAAATGAAATCATTTTATCTGGCCTTTCCATTTAATTTCCCAATTTCTAGTTGAGGATATATTTTAAAAAATGTTCAGTTCTTTTGCATATTTTTGTTTCTGCCTTAATTCCAGGCTAGCCAGAGAAGGAGGGGAATGTGAACCTCATAAAAATGATCTTTGTGGTCTTGCTTAGCCAAGGACAATGTTGGAGCAATGCTCTGGCCCCAGTCACTGGTGGAAGCCACCATGTACTTACACATGTGCTTCTCCTATAGCATGTCTTCACCTGTCCTTGCTCTTCCCCCACCCAAACATCATTTTCTTGGGGCACTGGTGGTAGGGCAGGTGAGATCTTTCCAGGAGCTTATCAGTGCCCAGAAGGAGACAAGGCAATCAACGCATAGAGAACCGTCGTTGATTTGAGTCCTTACTTATTATCCCAATATTTTGTAAGTGGTCGATCAGGCTTTGTAGATGGAGAGCACCCTGCCAAAATATGGCACCTTCATACATAACAAAATCTAAAGAGGATTTCTAAAAAGGATTTATTCATTCTCCTTAAGAGACTCTGATAACTTTGCACTTTCCAATAATCCTTTAGAAGATGAAGGAGCATAGATGGCAACCTTACTTCTCCTATAAGACATTTTTGTAACCCTAATCACTTTTATCCATTAAAAAGTATCTTGTTACTTGTCCTGTGCAATGGCTCATAGCCACTTTTCCTATTTTCTACTTTCTGTATAATCATCCAGGCCTAAAAACATACTTGCAGAGTGTTGCTTGAAGGGATCCTGCTATCTATGCTGACAGATGTTGAATGACGGTGGCAGCAGCAAACAGCCTTTTTTAGAACTTAGGATTGCACTTTAATTTTTTTTTTTTTTTAAAGAAGGTCTCCAGGGAATAGCACGGTGCAATGACATCACTTGTCAAAAGGTGTGTTCCTCTTCTTCTTGGGAGTGTTTTTTTTAAAAATGGTAAAGTAAGTATTCTAAGTGCAGAGAAGGCTTAGAAGGCTTTCTTTTCTTTAAAACCAAACCAAACCTTGCTGCTCCATGTTTCTGCTGCACTGACATACTTTAGCACTACAGTTCAGATGGTTCATCCCCGGGTTGTAGGAAGACTGCTGAAATTGGAAGTCCGTGGGCTGGGAGAAAAATGGACTCCCTCTGCATTCTGCCATGGGTCCCCCCCCACCCCCAAATATCTGCTGGTTAAACAACAATGCTGATACTTGGCTTTAGTTGGGGTGCATGTTCCAGGGAGCTTTTAAAGCAGTCTTCCCCAATTTGGAGCCTCTAAGATGTGTTTGTCTGGACTCCCATCCTCCCCTACTGGCATGGGAGAGGATGGGCATTGGCATCCCATGAGCCTGGACAGCACCAGGTACAATCAGATTACTTTTAATGATTTTATGTCGATGATGCTTGGTATCCCTTGGCAGTCTGGGGTAACAGCAAGGGAACCACATGATTGAGAAAGAGCTGAACCCAGGACTCCTTTACCAGCCTGGACCTGCAGAGAGAGGCAATGTCTTGGACGATGCTGTGCCTGTTTCTTGATTTATTTGCTGGTTAGTGCTTTTCTTTTTAGAATGCCCTCTTTCCCCTCCTAGGATCTCTGCACACATGAGACGGGGCTCCCTGGCACTCTGCCATCCAAGCTGTGCTCAGTCAGAAACCTGTTTCGCTTCCCCAGCATTCCCAGCATGTTTTGTTCCCAGGTTGCTCAGTTATTCAAGCAGTACATTCTGTCCCAGGTTAATGTATTCCTTTGGTTGCATTGCCTGAGTGCATCAGGTCCGTGTGCTATGCAGACACATTAAGGTGCTTCAGCTAATCCTGCCCTGCGCAAGTTGCAGGCTGATTTCAAGACTGGGAAGAGCTCGTGTTTGTGGACCCTGCTGGAGCTTTTCAGACCAACCGAGGAAGCATGCCAATGCTCTGCTCTAGAAAAACTCTTCCATGGCACTTGTGTGGCATGACCTGGGAGCTCGGGGAACTACAGCTGGGGAGAGATACCAGAGCTGAGGTCAGCAGTTGGCAATCCCCTCCCAAACCTCAAAAAAGTGTTAAGGTAAATAAATAGTGGCTGTGAGGGGTCGGGCAGTTGGACTGAAGTGCTGAAGGTCTTGTCCCTGTCTCCAAAGAGCCTTTAGCAAAAAAGAGTAATTGTGACCAGGAGCCTTCAGAGCAGAGGGATGGGGGGTTAACTTAAGAGGACTTTTATTGCTGACCAGAGGGCGATCTCAGCTTGGAAGGGCAGAGAGATGACTTACTTTACGTGCCACCTCCCACCTCTGCATGTCTCCAGGCTACAGCCCAAATGAACTCAAGAGAGTACCAGAGTATCTTTCCATCTCCATTTGGCTCTTAATGTTCCCCGTTTGGAAATCAACCAGTTATTTTCTTACTGTGGGCTGAAGGCTAAGACCAGCAGCCTGAAACTATTATTTAAAAGGTGATGCTTTCAGCTGATAGGGGTGGTTTATCTGAGATCTCCCTGAGAATGGAGAGGAGAATGCGTCATTGGGCGGTCTGTGGCAATGCTGGCCCATGAAGAAAAGAGGGGGGATTTCACCAGCAAGGGCCAAGCTGTCCTGTCCTGAGCCTTGTCCTGTTGCAGCCGCTCTCCAAGCACGCCTGCCTCTCTGCAGTCCTTGTACATCATGCAGTTTGCCCGTTAATGCCGCATCAGGGCAGAAGGAGAGAGTTGCCATGCGCGTACCCAGCAAGGCTCTTTTGCCATTTTTTCTTTTCTACCCAATCTGTGTAATGTATTTTTAAGTTCAAAGCCAGGATGGAAGGTAGAAGATCAAAAGCACCTCTATAAGAAAGAGGTGAAGCAGTACGACTTGTGAAAGCAAATAAGCACAGCCAGTTTAGGGATGGGAAAAGTGGTCCACACTGATGTTCTGCCACTGATATAAACTCCTTCGTACCCAATGTACGAGAGGCTGTTCGGGAGTGAAGAACTCTGTATATACCCAAGTCTACTTGCCTTTATGATGTGATTCTCAAATGTTAGGCTATAATTAACAATGTGATTTACTAAATGAATGAATCAAGTCCCAGCAAGTGTGACACCTTGCTGTGGGATGTAAAAATCAATTACCACTGTGGGAGCAAGAGAAAGGGGAGGGGCACACCTACTGTTCCAAAAGGCTGGACTCACCTCATACCCTCCAACTCAATTTTGCCTCCAAGCCCCTAGAACAACCTTTCCCTACCTGAGGCTTTCTAGAGACGTTGGCTAGGAATCGTGCGTGTTGTAATCTGAGCACATCTGGAGGACAGAAGATTGGGGAAGCTGCCTTGAAAGTCAGGTTGGAATGGATTGCCATGATCAACTTAAGACTGGTTCCTATTGTCATATGTTTGGGGTTTCAATTCCATTAGCCCCAACCAAGAGAACCCTAGTTAAAAGCCTCTGGAGTGGAATAGGTTGCCTAAGCTTGATTTAGGAGCTGCAGTCTTCCTCCTATGAAACTATTTCTTGGTAGAGCAGTGTTGTCCAAACTTGGCCACTTTAAGATGAGTGGACTTCAACTCCCAGAATCCCCCATGCTGGCTGGGGAATTCTGGGAGT